TTGATCCCTGCCCTGGAGGTGACCCACAGGGAGCAGCTGACCTCTCCTTACCCACCTCTGCTCCCCTCAGCAGTATAGTTCCTTGATCTCCTCGATCTGTCTGTTCTGCTCCCCACTCTGACTCTGTTGAATTCCCTCACCTCCCCTGCACTTCCTGCTTGTATTCCAGTTCTGGATGCATAAATAAATAAATCTTTAAAAAAATACAAATACAAATACTGATAAGTTAAAGTGATTAACAGAATATGAAAATAGGGGTGACAGAGAGTTTGACAGTAAGAAAGAAATGATTCATATGTCCCGAATTGCAAAGGTAATCAATTTCATTTATATAAAAAAAGTAAATTGAAATTATATAGACCTGCTACTTTTCACCTATCAAATTGCAAAATCCAAGTTTTTCAATTCTATCTATTGGCAATGATGGAGATAAATAATCACTTCTACATGTGACTAGAGAGACACAAAATAGCACAGAACCTTAGAAGGGGGTTTCTAATAATACCTACAAAAATTAAAGATTTATTTTGTTTGAACAAATATCCCACTGTGAGATCTTTCAGACAGCTAATACACACATGCATACATACATATATGTATATATGTATATATATATAAATACGTATGTGTGTGTATAGTAAGTTACATAGATGATAGATATATAATTTATATTTGATCAAGGACATGCATTGCATAATAGACATGATGAAACAGAACAATGCCTATCAAATACAATTTAAACAAAACAATAATAAACAAAAACACCAGATTTCCACATGCATTAAGCTATCTATGGAGGAAAGGATCCCAGAAGAAGTGGGAAATTAAACAGCTCCAAAAACTCTCTTCCCCCATAAAGGCAAATACTAGTGAGGTTTTTATTTCAATAATTGTAAACAATCATTACAAGGCATTAGCATGATTCCTAAAGTTTATAGTTTATGAAGCACTTCCCTACGCATTATGACATATGCTTATTATAATGCTAAAAAGTCAAGTCATAATTATGATAGTCATTAATCGGATGTGACAGTTCAATCCAAAACTTGCCTCAAAGCTCCTATGCTCTTCTAGCTGAGACAGATATCTTTACTTGGGCTCTCGAATATTTCTTGTAAATGATCAAAAATAAATATAACTATTGAATTTTCCCATCTACATCTATATCCACAACCAATACATAAATATCTGTGTATGACTGTGTCCCATTAAAACATCATGGATATAAGCTAAAAATTGAGTTGTCTATAATCGCCATGTGTCACAATGTTTAAAAGTTTGAAAGTAAAACTTGAAGAAAAACACTCGCCACACAAGCCATACTAAAACAAGAAACTGGTTGCATCTGGCCTTCAGGTTACAGGGTAACTGCCCCATAATCTAAACCACACACCAAACTTTATAACACACTTGAAATAGTAATAAAAATGTCAAACCAGTATTTCTCAGTTCTTCAGGAGAGGAAGCCCTCTTGGAAGAATTAAAGAGACTTACTAATTGTAAATCAGAGAGCAAGCCAGGAGGTTACAAGAGGAGCCCTGTTCTCTGTATTCCCTGGTCATTATTTTTTCGTAGGGGAAACTCTAAGCCAATGAGAGGTGTGATGTACGACAAGCAGTTTGGGATTTGCGTGCTATCTTGCTATCTTATGCAGCATTTATTCCTAGCTATAATGGGATTCATCCAGCACTATTCAATTTTTTTAACATGAAAAATAGATTAGACAGTCTCTATTAATTTTTACATGATTTTTGGAAAAGAGGGAACATTTTTGTTAAAACTATAATGATTAATTATCATATATTTTTTCCCAGGAAAAGAGGACTTACTACCAATGGTGCTATTAGATTATTTCTTGTCCTAATCCTTCATTTAAAAATATTTTTTTAGGGGCCCTCCTTGGTGGCTCAGCGGGTTGAAGCACAGCACTGAGAATCTAAAGCCACTTCCGCATGAGTTCGATCCCGCCTGCCCCGGAGGTGACCACATGGCGTGGCAGACCTCTCCTGACCCGCCCACTGCTCTCAGCAGTGTACTTCGTCGATCTGCCTGTTCTGTTCCCTGCTCTGTCTCTGGTGAAGCCTCTCGCTGCCCCTAAGCTTCTGACCTGTACCCCAGTTCTGTATACACAAATAAATAATAAAATCTTTAAAATAAAAAAATAAAAATAAATATTTTTTAAAGCTTATGAGATATAAAAAAAGATCCTTAATAGATCATATTCATAAGAAATATTCACATTAACTCGTGTATTTGATCTTTTACATTCTAGAAAAAAAATAAGTTTCAATTAAACTTATAGTCACATAGGCAATGTGCATATTCATGGGTAATTATGTACAAACATATGGGTCTCTATATATTTTACTTGTAGAGACACATTTGTACTACTCACCGCTAGAAAAAGCCTTATGATCATGGCCTTAGCTTCATAGTAAATATGCATATTGTTTCATATAGTATCTTATGTCATCATAGTTCACATTATCTTAAATATTTACATATTTCCATCATATATGTAAATTTCTCACATTTACATATTGTCTTATAATCAAAGCCTTAACCACATCTTAGTATTGGCATTAACCCATGTATTAGTGCCACTTTTTCTGTTGGGATCAGATTGCCAACAGATTCAGTCTTTGATAAAGAAAAGGCAAAGAAAATGAGCCTAAGAAATCTCGGCAAAGTCAGCATACAACAAAACACAACTTGGGCTTTCATCCGAAGCCCACTAAATGTTGTTTCATAATGTGAAGTATAGCGATAGATACACAGTATTACAATCAAAAGTTTCAGGACAGTTTGAACCATCTATAATGCATTCATAAGAACTAATATAAAGCTCTCATATTCGTATGATTGTTCTTGTTTTATTTCCTGCTGACAAAATTCCTGATAGGATTTCTGTTTCTGTGAGGATTAAGGCGAGGCTGATGTTCAATCTTTAGTTTTTCATGTCCATAGTAATTATAATAAGAATGTTTTATTCAGGAATCCTGTGAAAACACATGTCTGGTTCATTATGAATGTGTTTTTTTTAAGTGTGAGATGTAACTTTAATTCTTGAAAGAATTAAAATAATGGGATAAGAGTATAATAATTTAGGTACATAAGGACTGGTGAGCTTTGAACTCTAAAAGAATTTTCGTGTGTGTGTGTGTGTGTGTGTGTGTGCAGACACTGATTTTGGTGGTGTGGGTGTGGGAGGGGAAGGAAATTGTACAATTAAGTTAGAATTTCCCCTATAGGCAGAGTCTAGAGACACTGAGTGAGCGATCCAGATGGGACAGGGCAAAAAGGGACTATTTGCCAATCAACGCTGTCTATGACAGTTCAGACTCCGTTTGTACAGAATCTCCACCGGCTTGACCAGATTCGGAGACCCCACGAATTCCTGACAAGTAAACATCTTTCAACCATATGTTCACTGGCACCCAGACCCATAGGGATTCCTTGAAACTGATCTATTGCTAAGGTTCCATGTTTTACTAAAAAAGGTGAGCTAAAAGGAAATGAGAAATTGTCACATCTTTATTGTCACCCTAATAGTAAATTTTGGCTTATCTTCTTAATGAAATTAAATTAAAAGACAAAATGTATCTCACAAAATAGTTCCTGCTAATAATGTGTTTTGTTTGTGTCTAAAGAGGTAAATATAGTCTGTTCCATTTTTCTCCCTTCGGAGGATTGAAAGAATAATGCAAAAGGGTTTTGAAGTTCACAACATAAATAACTTTCTAGTGACCTCATAAGTTATGTTTCTGTTTTAGTACATTGGTCTCTAACTCCTGGAGCACCTTGTGAAGGGGGGGGATATGATGAAGTCATGAGTCCTCAGGTCATGTTCATCTGCATGTAAGAACCTGACAGAATTGTTACAGAATTGTTGCAGATCTTTTGCACGTGTTCCCTTTTCCAACTCTGCAGTGACTGCCTTGTATGGGAAATACATCTGCAATCCAGTCCCTGCTGGACAAGGGATGGAGCAGATGGTTGGTGATTCTGGGCTGCCCACACGTCAGGGAAGCACTATGGATGGATGGAGAAAACTGCTTTTTTTTTTTTTAGTACTAACAATGTTAAACGGAAAATAAGTAGTCAAGCAGAGAGATGGAAGTCACGAAGGCTGCAATCCCACAGATCGTCTTGTGGGGTTTGCTGTTCCTCCCACGGGCTGTGAATACTCCTACCTGAGGCCAGTCATTCATCAAAAAAGTTCTCTCCACTGCCCACTCTACCCTCTAGCCCAGATCCTGGAGGACACAAGCTTACACTGTTCCAAATCACTTAGGGTGTGATTCCCTTCAGCATCTGATAAGCCACTAAACAGTCTTGTCTGTATTTTTGAGAAAAAGAGCATTTGGTCTGAATATGCTAATCGTTTCAACAAACTTCATTATTCTGGAATTTTAACAAAACCAGCCATTCAGTATAGAATTAATCTATATTCAAAATATGTCAACGTTTTAGTGGAAGTAGATTGGAGGGTTTAAAAAAATAATAATAGTCATGTTCTTTTAAGGGCTGACTTCAATTCAAATGCAAGCTCTAGTAATTAACAGGATTGTAGTAGTTGGCATGCGAGTGTCTTCTCTGTAGCCTCATCTGCTCTAGCAACTGATAAACAATATCAATCCTCCATAAAAGGATGTGAATTCTAACATATCTCCATTGTAAAAAGATTTTATGTTTTTACAAATTATTTAACTATTCATTGACGTGTTCTCCCTTTTCAAGAAAGAAAAGAAAGGGTAATGCTGATAAAGAGAATTCAGCTCATTTTGTACAGGCCAATGTTAAAGGTGATGTGACTTGGTTAATAAAGATCATTTCTTACGTTATTATTTTGAAATGTTTCATCTGAGTCATAAGATTCTATAACACCACTGACTTCGCATACCATGTCTCTTACAAGGCAACTTCTGTCCTGTTCTCCTCACACCCCTCCATTTATTTCCAAGAAGAGGAGAAAACAAACCAAAACATTAAAAACTTACTTTTCCAACATATTGTGGATCTGGTCCCATATGTTCTTCTAAAACAAAGAACTGATTCCAAACCCATCCCCTTTTGGGACGATGGTGGACTTCGGTTTCACCTTCAATGTGTTTGGTTTGGTTCTTGGTCACCTTGATGGAGCTGTGGTGAGCAGTTCCATAACACCTCTGAACAAAACAGAGACACACCAGTACTGGACAGATGCAAGATGTGCTCGAAATTTTCATTGTAAGATAACTTGCCAGTTCACAGTTTTCTTTCTTTTCCTTGTCAGCTACAAATGCTTAGTGAGCATTCACGAGAGAAGCCAAAGCATCTTTTGAAGGACGGTCCAAAGCAAATTGTTTAGCGTGTCCATGTTTTAACTGCCCATCAGGGAAAGGTCAGACTACATTTACATCCTGAAACACTTGGAGAATCGAAGCTCTCTTGTTTGATTCCAATTCTTCACAGTAGGTGAACACAGGCAACCATTTTCTACCTAATGGAAAGAGACAATTACATACATTACAAAACTTGTAGCTTTAAGTGTTTGTTCTGAATGCAAATTATACTGTTTGCAGTCAATGCTGATAGGCAAAGAATATATATACAAATTCGTTGGAAACATACATATATTCTTAAGCTGGCCTGCCATATACATTTTTACATAAACTTCCCTTTCTTGCCTGTCAGTATTCTCTCCTGCCTAGGTGAAATATATGTTAAGGAACCTCAGAAATAGAGCATGAGTATAGCACATGTCTGAATACATGACAGATACTGAAGTCGGGTATCATATTGCACCTAATTCTAGAGATAAAGGAGGAAACAAACAGCATCAAAAAGAACAAAGGGGATGCCATTTTGATTGTTTAAATAATTGAGGACATAGATATTGCCTTACTACAACTGAACACTAAAAAAAAAAAAAAAAAAAAAAAAACTTAAGAAATGTTTATAGAAGACAAAATAATTCGGATAGAAGAGAATGGCAGAATTATTAACACATTGACGATAGACAGCATTGTGCAGCAAGTTTTCTGTATTACTTCAATCCCTATTTTTCAATAATTATTCACAAAAGTTACATTTATTCAAGAATATAGCTAGTACATCTCCTTTAAAAAAAAAGTAAGATAAATCCCATTCTCATTCCATAAAAAAAAAAAATTGTATATCAGCACAAAGTGAAATGTAGAACTGAATGAATTATAATATTGTTGACATGATAATCTAAATGATTTAAATGATGGAATCTAATTAGTTTTAGTATAATTCTTTTATTCTACTGAGAACAATTTTTATACTCAGTAAAGGATGAGGTGGAAAAAAAATTAAAAAAACATGCTACTCAAAGTAAGAATGTTCTATCACTATCTCTTCTCAGAAATTAAGATTAATAGTAATGCTTTCTTCACCAGTTCTGTAAAAATTACATTGAATTACAATTAGGATTTAAGTGTCTGACAAATATAAGTTTGCAGTATTTCAGAAAAACAAAGATACATTCCTCAGTAGTTTAAATTAAAATACTAACATGTAAGCATATCTCTAAAAATATTTAAAAAAGCAATATATTATACTCCCAACATGGAAAGCACACTGTGAAATCAAAAAGAAGTTTTTTTTCTCTCTCTCTCTCTTTTTTTTTAAAGATTTATTTATTTATACACACAGAACTGAGGTACAGGCCAGAGGTGCAGGGACAGTAAGAGGATTCACCAGAGACAGAGTGGGGAGTAGAATAGGCAGACTGATGAGGTACACTGCTGAGAGGAGCAGCAGGTGAGACAGGAGAGGTCTGCCACCCCATCTGGGTCACCTCTGGGGCGGGGATCGAACTTTCATGCTCAGGCTGTTGCGGTGCTGTGCTCTGACCTGTTGTGCCACCAGGAAAGCCCTCCTTTTCTTTTTTTCTTTCTTTTTTAGCAATTTACTCACAATATGAACTTAATATAACCAATGTATATACCTAGACAAGTCTGTTGTTTCCTTTATTTATAAAAAATTTTGGCTTGAACAATAGCTTTTAAAAATATACTATAGTCTCTAATAAATTATTTGTGATTAATATTAAAGGTTTATTTTTATCAAAAAGATTCTTACTTTTATGTCATGGGTTCCATAAAACAGAAACTCTAGCCTTTTTTCTTAGAAGTCAAGTTGATGAAAATATAGAAGGTGTTGTTATCTTAATATTCCCACACCGTTTGGTGTGATTTTTAGATGAAATCAACATCTTTGAGCTTTATTCTAAGTTGTTTAACAAAGCATAATTCATGAGGAGAAGTGATGAAGTGGTTTGTGTAAAGTATTAGAGGGTAATATAGAATGAGTGTTTTCTTTACATTACCGAACATTTTAAAAATGTATAAATGCATCTTAGTCTATTCACAAATGCTATGTTTATGAATCTATTATGCCAATTATGAAAATAAGTAAATGAAGTTCTGTGGAATGATAAAACAGCTAAATATCATCAATATAATTTTGAAAGCAATTTACTATATCAGGAGAGGGCAAAAAAATGTATGAACATTTTCTACTTCACTTGAAATCCATCCCTGTATAGGTTAGAAAGAATTAAAACATAAATATCTAAAACATAATAACAACGGGTATAGACAATGGCCTTTTAACTGGGATATTCATATACCCTCCTTTTTTTCATGGAATACTACAACATATGGATTTTGATTAACAGAGCCCTAATTTTAACCTCTGAACACTTACGGATCAACATATTTTCTCCTTATCACACTCTACTTAAACCTTGTACCACTGACATACACAGGTCATTTGCATGTTCTAACACCCTGGAGCAAATGATAATGAATATAGAGACAGTAGAAAAATGCTTCATAATAGGGGCCTTAAGGTATAGATACTGTGGTGACTATTCTTGAAGTTATGTGGGCAGAGCCCAGTGACACTTGCTTTAATTATTAGTCTTTATAGCCACTTAGCTTCAGGAGCAAGCGATTGACGTTTCTAACTTCTCTTGATTCCTACCTCTTCCAAAATCTGATTTTCAGGCCCCTCATCAATTTTAACAGTTACATGATATGTATCCACTAAATTCATTGGCTTCTTTCCATGGTCAAAGCTGATTTTTGTTGTTGAATATAAGTACAATTTCTAATACAAAGCATCATCGTGGGCCCTCCATAGTGGCATAATGGGTTAAGGCACAGCACTATGACTTTATCGCAGCCACTGCTGCATGAGTTCCATCCCCAGCTAGGGAGGTGACCCATGTGGTGTGGCAGACCTCTCCTGACTCTCCTGCTACTCCCCTCAGCAGTGTATTTCAGCACATCTGTCTGTTCTGCTCCATGCTCTCTCTCCAGTGAATCTTCTCACCCTACCGTACCTCTGGCCTATATCCCAATTCTTGTATGGACAAATGAATACCCCTTTTTAAAAAAGAACATCTTTGCCCTAGTACTCCAACAAACATAGCCGTTTTGATTTAATGCATTACTTTCTAAAAAGCAGAAGGTAGGCCTCTACCGTAGACTCAGTATGTAACCAGAAGGGCCCCCGATTGCTTCCAGATACCAGCTCTACTGTAGCTGTAACTGTTCCCTCCTCAGCAATAGGTTAATGCCCCTTATTGTGGGACAAGAAATAAGACCTAATTGTGGAAAATTATCACTTGTTAGGAACATATCGTTCTCTGAGTCTCTGAAGAAAGATTTCCATTAATTTATCTTTAAGCTTGTTTCACTGTTTAGTTTTTGAATTTTTGGTTTAATAACTGTGTCATTCACAAATGACTTTTCTTATATCTCTGTTACTCATATCATCAAAGATTAAATAATTAGTCACATATTTCTGGACATATATATATATATATACATTTCTTCTGAGAATTCTGAGCAAACACTGCTTTCAATAAAGGGTTGCTGACATTTACCCAAAATGTATTTCTGATAACTAAACCTTTGACTGAATTATCTTGCCATTTGGTTCTTAATATATAAAAGTTGGATTCCAAAGAGGTGTAGAGAATGCCTTCTGTTTGCCTTTTATAAAAGAAATTCCCCTTGCTCATCTTCTTTTTTTGAAACTGTCTTTGTAAAAAATAGCCTGTTAACACTATTTTCTGAATATATCATTTTATTCTCAATGTGTGGGATCATATATTATTTTATGTATTCAAAAACCTGTAATTATAACTGCCACCAACTTTTAAACTCTACTATTGTATGTTATTGGCAGGGAATAGGCTGACTTTGCATAGAACACTTCTGCTTAAATAGGAAATGTCAGAGAGAAGAATGTATGATGGGAAGTCCAGAGATTTTAGAAGTGCCTTCACTGGAGGTATCTAAGGACATATTGTGTGGAGTCATATGTGTCAATGAGTGCATGATGCTCAGAACACTGAAGAGGGCTTCCCAACTGTCAAATCTGCAAATCTACCAGATGGCTCTTCTTCCTGTGAGGATGGATCCTCTTAAAAATAACGGAAGTTCACTTTTCTGTGATGAATGACTTCAAGCCATCATACTGTCTGTCAGAAGATTTAAATATCAGAAAATATGTTATGTTTTCATTCTGGTGTACCTATACAAGGTACATTTAGAAAAACTGAACAAAAGACATTTTTTTTTTAGTTTAATAAATGATTATTCTCTGTAAGCTCTCTTGCCTTTAAGATTTTCTCACACTTTACGTTTACCCTTTACGTTGATGATTATGAGCTTAATTCCTATTTCTAATCCAATACCAATTGCATTTTCCCATTCCAAATCAAGAACTTGTTAAATTTCTAAACATGACTTTGGAATTTTTGTGTTACTTCCTTCTCCTTTGCCCACTATTTTCACTGTTTTATCTAAAACTTAATCCTTTTTTGTCAACTGATATTTCATGCTTCACAATAATCTTTATATTTCTCTACTGGAGACAAATGGATTAAATAATTATTGGTTATGGTCAAAATACAGAACACAGGGTTTTGCAGACATCTTCACCTAAATTTGTTGCAAGTTTTATCTCCAGGTTGACTCCCAAATCATTAATATTTTCAGGTTTAATCTATAATCATTTCACAGAGGACAATAATAAACTGCATTTGTTTAAAGTAGTAAACTGCACCTTAAACTTTAACTCTCTGATATATGAGGAAATATCTAAATAACATAAATGGGTCAATGAATATTAACTTAGGTGTATTAAGCTTTTCTGTTGGAAATATATATATATGTATATATATATATATATATGATTATTTTTTTTTTAATTTTATGGAGACGGTGATGAAAATACTGTGTACACACTGGCATGGCACCCTGCCATGTTTCCTTCAACTTCACTTTACTTAAAGCCTTAGTCTCCAAACTTTACTTGGTAAAACCTTCCCTCAGGTTTACAAGCACTGGTGCTTCTCCCAGAGACTTAGACTTCTCTGTTTGTGGAGATGATTTACCTTGGATCTTATATGTTTCTGAAGTCTTCTAAGAGGTGTTAATAACTTTGTTTTATGTTATA